TGATATTTAATTTAATTTTTAATGATTTAAGTAGACCGAGTTTAATAAAAATCCTTATAGCTGTGTTAATATATATATATATATATATATATTAAGAGGGCTGGGATAGCCTTGCGGGCTAAGGCGCTTGCAATAGGTAATCAAAGTTAAACAACACCGAGCGTGGCTAGCTCTTGGATGGGTGACCATCCACTAAGGAAAGCGCGCTGGGGTAGCCATGCATGCTAAGGCACTTGCAATAGGTAATCCTGTCCTATAATAACTACACTGACAGGCAAAAAATTCCACCCACTTGATTTTTTCATGTTTTCATCTAAAAATATTTCTGCTTTGGATTGGTCTATTGTTTTTAATGAATAAATAGGTAATCTTTCTGTTTGTTTTCAATTTGGAATGTTAATATAGAGGGCGATAATCCTTAATCCTTAATTCAATGAAATGATTCTAGATTCCTATGTTTACTTTCTATGGAATCAAAATGTTTATTCAGCATCATTAGTTCAGTGCCGTTTCTTGCAGCACATTTCTTAGTCTCCGGCTTTTAATTTTTTCAATATTAAGTTTAAAAATGCCTCTTAGTGCTGAGGATGTTGCACGTGGTGTGACACATAATCCTTAATTCAATAAAATTATTGTAGATTCCAATGTTTCCAAGATTCCAAAACGAACCATTATTATTCTAAAAGAAATTAATTACATCATCGTTTAGTACCTCGTGTTTCCTCCTCTTGCCTTCACTACTTCTCGAAGACGCCTCAGCATATTTTCCACCAGTCGGGAAATGTCCCTTTGCTGGAGGATAGCCCATTCCTCCCGAAGAGCCTTTTCAAGGTCCTGCAGTGTATCAGAAAGTGTTGCATGTCTTATTCGTCTTCCGAGGTTATCCCATAAATGCTCAATGGGGTTCAAATCTGGAGAACGTGCTGGCCAGGCTAAAACCTCAATATTGTTCTGTTGAAGGGACGTCTGCACTATGCGGGCGACATGTGGGCGTGTATTATCATGCATTAGAATAGAACGATCGCTGATTTCGTTGAGGATAGGCAACACATGAGGTTCCAAAATCTCATCTACATAGCGAATGGCCGTCAAAGACCCTCCGCGTACAACAACCAATTCTGTGCGGCGCTCCATTGAAATCTCAGCCCACATCATTAAGGAACCACGTTGGAAAGGTTGGCTCTGGGAAAAATTACAGGCTGCATATCTTTCGTTTCTTCTTCTCCACACCCTTTCACGCCCATCTGGAGATCGAAGAGCGAATCTTGACTCATCTGTAAAAAGTACAGCACTCCATTCGTCCATAGTCCAATGGCTGTGTTCTTGAGCAAAAGCCAGCCGTGTTACTCTGTGAGTTCTGGTCAACTCTGGTCCTCTTACTGGACAAAAAGCCATTAATCCATACTCATTTAATCTTCTCCGAGCGGTACGTTCAGAAATTTGCATACCTCGAACTTCTTCGAGCTGATGAATCGCTTGAACAACAGTAAGGTGCCGGTTTCGTAAAATTCTCAAAGTCAAAAACCGGTCATCCCGTGGTTCTGTTACCCTTGGCCGTCCAGAACCGGGCCTTCTATTGTAAGAACCAGTTTCCCGAAAACGCCTGATGGCGTCTCGTAAAGTTTCATATGGAACTCCGATGGCATTAGCTGCATATCTAATAGAACGTCCATCATCAATAAGTGTCACACCACGTGCAACATCCTCAGCACTAAGAGGCATTTTTAAACTTAATATTGAAAAAATTAAAAGCCGGAGACTAAGAAATGTGCTGCAAGAAACGGCAATGAACTAATGATGCTGAATAAACATTTTGATTCCATAGAAAGTAAACATAGGAATCTAGAATCATTTCATTGAATTAAGGATTAAGGATTATTGTCCTCTATATTAACATTCCTAATTGAAAACCAACAAAAAGATTACCTATTTATTCATTAAAAACAATAGACCAATCCAAAGCAGAAATATTTTTAGATGAAAACATGAAAAAATCAAGTGGGTGGAATTTTTTGCCTGTCAGTGTATTTCGATAACCTGTTTTTTTTTTTTCTATACATGCCCTGGAAAAGTCTAGGAATGCCATTAAAAGATTTTGGTAGACACCCTAAATGTGTGAGAACCGTGTTATTTCTGCACAATAACTATTACAGTTGATTAGGTTAGATGACATGTGACAGTTTACTGTCAGAGTGTATATATATGGTAACTAAAGTTGAAGTAGCTTTCTCTGTCACAGCAGGTAGCTATTTTCACTTTATTATCAAATCTGATTGCTTGGCAGTAATACTCCTATGGCAGTACCTTTTATACATTTTACAAAGTGATAATATCTACAACAATTGTTATGGCTGCTACTGTCACCATGTAAAATAGCCTTCAGTCAGGTTATCTCTGCAAATTAACCAGTAACATAGCAAGAAGTACTAAGTTCTGGGGCGAATGTGGTCCCTAGGTATCATTTGTGGGGTTTACATGTAAGAACAGTTTTTACACTTCTCCATTCATAATGGCAGCAAAACTGAAGATTAAAAGTTTTATTGTGGTTTAATCGTTCTATTCAGCTAACATAAACTGAGAATCTTTGCACTAAGAATTAAATGAATCCATAGTCCTAGAAAGTTGGGAAAAGGTTGGTTTCTTGATTTCTAATGGTGCGTATAGACTTTACCACAGATTAAGCGTAAAAGGAATAGATAAAAAACATGTAATTTATTCAATTAACTGGAAGGTGTAAAACTAGCAACGCTTAAGTTAGGAATTACTTACACCCTCAAACCATGAAATGGTTGTAAGTTACTTCATACCTGAGGATTTAAGTCAAACATTTGAATTTAAATTAGTCCTTTAAGTAGCTTAAAACAAATAAATTTACCTTAAAACATGGAGTGAGTTTGCAAAAAGTTGAGTTTATTTGGTTTTCATTATGTTGTATGCATTGATCCTCTCATTAAAAGCTGTCAGCTTAGGTACGATAGGGCTGACTGGAGTGTGGATAGGTGATGCCTCCTATTGACTTGGAACTGTCCCTTCTATTATATTTTATGTTCTGTGCTGCCCACAGAGGTCGTTAATGTTTTTTAACAGGTAATAGAGATAGTAGAAAATATTCGGCTTAACAACCTTATCCACCTCCTGTTCTCCTACAATTATCATAGATTAATCAAATCTGCGCCCTGGTCTTTCAACTGTTTACATTCCTAATTATCCTTTGGAATATTAAATGGATTAACCAACCTACAGAATTTGTACCTCAAAATAGTAAAACTCTACTGTATACCTTCCTCGATCTTCCATTATACAAAATCTTCTCAGATACTTGGACTTACTGGTCATATTCTATACATAAAACTCCTAACTTACTCGTCTTTTTTTGTTTTTGTTACAAATGGATTTAAGACTGTACCTCATGCTTTTAACTCAAGCTCTGATTATATATTGGTTCTCTAGATGAGCCTTCAGAAACAAAAAGAAGACCATTACTCAAAAGAAATATGGACTGGATCTTTACAGAGCATGTCTAAAATCCAATTTTGTAGTTCCTTTATCGCTTAAAGATGAACTTGAAATAGCAGTTGATATTTTTACCTAATCCATGCAAAATACAGCTTGGACATCATCAGAACCCAGTACCAAACAAGCTGTGAACTTAACTTATTATTCTCAATTCTTAAGGAACCTGGACAGACCCATGAAGTATGGCAGACAAAAAATACTTGTAAGGTATAGAATGTTTGTAAAAAATATCCTATTTTATGATATATTTTAAACATATGTATGCTACTATAATCACACTCGTTGTTATGAATGCTGTTATTGTTTCTTCATTACAGCACCTCATACCTATTAACATAATTTCAATTAATTTATTAACTGTTAATTACTTGTCTATGAATGATTAAATTTTGATTATTTAATAATTTATTTATTATTATTATTTTTTATTTATTTATTATTACTATTTTTATATTTTTGTGTTTAATGGTTACTGTAATTTAAGTTGTGAAGAAATCTACTTCTGACCAGCAACACACGAAAAACTGTTTTTCAGTAATAATAATGTATTCTCCATTGTTATAGATGTTATTTGATGTTTAAATAGATTAAAAATAAAATATTCTTTTTTGGATGAAAATATCTTTATTTATTTTTTTTTTATAAAAATAAACTTATTTGTTGTCTGTCCAATTCAGTTAAATTTAGGTACAAATACTTCCTTTAATACTATTATAGTTTTAGGTAATTTTGAAAACATTAGGGTCATCACATCAATTATCCTTATGCTCACTCAGGATAAATATTAATTCTCTATAAAGTATTAAGATTAATATTTTAATAGGTTGTTATGCTGTTTTCATGCAATATTTAATAATTTTTATTGTCAATATCTAATAAGTAATTAATTAAGAATATAGTAGTATTTCTATGAGAATATTCATTTATTCATTTTTTTTTTTCCTATACCGACTACTAAATACCAGTTAGTAGTATTTCATTCTATAATAGTTATATGACAATATGTCTGTCTTTTATTTTATTGTTCCAAATAAGTTTTTAAATATAATTTCAAAATCTGTGAATCAAGTATTACTTTATTATCATATTATCTAAATTATAAAACATTGACCTGTGAAATTTGATGCACATTAACTTTATTATTTATATTTCTTTATAAAGAAATTTTATATCTTGTGTTAATTTTCTAATTATAAATTGTATATTAGAATATGATTAATGCTTTTTTATGTATACAAATTATTGTTTTTTTTATTATTAATAATAAGCAAAAAAAAGAGAAAAACAAACAAATTAGTACCTAATGTTTAATTTATGATCTATATAGTAGCCCTTGGATAAAAAAAGGTTGGGAAATAGCTATTTAACTGTTATTGGTGTGTTACTTTCAGAAATAGATATTCTAAACAATGTTCTGATCTAATTATATCATAATTCTACTTTTTGGTAATAGCTTGTTGTAAACATTCTTTTTTTTATTTTAGACTGAAGTTGTTAATGATTCATATGAGTTTAGTTGCCAGCATGGTCCTCAAGAATGTCTGGGAAATAAAATACATTCTTGTGTAATAAAAAGAATTACCAATGAGTTAACAAGAACAAGAGTTTTGACATGCATGATTAGTGGCAAATTTAATCCAGAAGAAAGTGGAAAAAAGGTATAGTAATTAAATGGAATTAGTAACCAATACTACAAGGTTGGCTTAGTTTTTTTAATTCTTTGTGGTATTTTGGTTTAAATATTATTGTAAATCATTTTATAATCTTCCAATCTTGCAGCCCCACAATAGTAAGGGTAACCTATTATTATTATTTCCATTCTTTATTCTCGCTTTGCGGGGTAAGTTTCTGAGGTGGGAGACCAGAAGTCCAGCCACTTCAGATTAATATCTATTACTTTTTAGATATTTAAAAACTTTCGAACAATACGTGCCGTATCCAAGAGAACTGAGTGTTGAGCCTCTTTCAGCACTTCAAGAGGTAATTTTAATCCCATCGTGCCTGCCACTGTTGTCTTTGGTATCAATCCATTGGAGGATATTATAATTGGAGTGGTGGTGACGCTCCCCAAATGATATAATTCCTTCAGTTCGATTGCCAGTTCCTGGTATTTTCTCAGTTTTTCTCCAACAGTGGAGCTTATATTATTATCATTGGGGATCCCGACATCAATAAGCTCTGCTCTTTTCTCTCTCATGTCTATCAGAAGGATGTCTGGTTTATTGTGACGCACAGTATGGTCAGTTATTATCGATTCATCCCAGTAGAGCTTGAGACTACCTTTTTGGAGGAGTTTATTTGGGTGGTACTTATAATATGGAGTTTTGTCATCTAACAAGTTGAACTTCACCGCCAGAGCCTGATGAAAAATTCTAGCCACATTGTTATGCCTCTGGAGATACTCGGTGCCAGCCAACACTCCACACCCACCTGTGACATGTTGGATTGATTCCAGCGTCGCTGAGCATAATCGACATTTATCCGTAGTTGTTGCGTCTTTAAGAACATGCCTTCTATATGATCTAGTAGCAATAACTTGGTCTTGGATGGCGAGCAGAAATCCTTCTGTCTCGGAGAATATCTTTCCAGCTTTCAGCCATTCAATGGATATTTCCTTGTCAATCGAGCTATCATTTAATTTGCTGTAGAATCTTCCATGCAGAGATTTATTTTTCCATTCTGTCAAGCGTTCGTTTTCTGACACGATTGTAGAGACCTCACGATTGCTCAGGTTAAGTGCGGTTAGACCATAATCCAATCTTGAGATTGCGAGGTAAACCTCAGTTGTTTTTGTAAGAAAGTATCGGCGTAGGGCCGCTTCCTGCTTGCGGCAAGCTTCTTCGATATTTAGCAAACCACGTCCTCCTTCTTTCCTAGGCAAATACAGACGAGCTTTGGATGATATTGGATGGTGGGCCCGTTCTTGTGTGAGAGTTGTTCGCACAAGGCGGTCGATCTCCTGTAGGCTGGTGTTTGACCAGTGCAATATGCCGAAACTATAACCGAGAGCAGGTATTGCCCAGGTGTTAATAGCCTTGATTTTTTGTTTCCCGGTTAGCTGGGTTTTGAGCACTTTCCGCAATCTAGTTTTGAACATTGTCAGAAGGTCTTGTTGCATATCTTTTCTTGCAATTTTAAGATGTTGCTGCATTCCCAGATATTTATATAACCTATTGTCTTCAAGCTCCCTGATGTACTCTTTTTCATTGATTAGAATATTCTGCATACTAACCACTTTTCCTTTGGTTACATGGAGCACCGCACATTTATCCAGACCGAGTGACATGCCTATATCACTACTAAAAGATGAAACGTCTTCAACCATACTTTGTAATTGGTCTTTGTTTTTCGCATATAGTTTAAGGTCATCCATGTACCAGCTGTGGCTGACTGTGGTAGCTTCGTCGTTGATGATTAATTTGTATCCCATCTTGTTCTTTCGAAGAATCCTGCTTAGTGGGAACAAAGCCATACAGAACCATAAGGGGCTTAGACAATCTCCTTGGTATATTCCTCTCAATATTTTAATTTGATTCCCTGTGCAGATAGTTCCAACTTTCAGCGTAGTTTTCCAACCTGTCATTAAGTTTGAAAGGAGCCTGCTTACTTTAGATTCAACCTTGTATATATCTAGTACTTTAAGTAGCCAGCTGTGGGGAACCGAGTCAAAGGCCTTTTTATAATCGATCCATGCCATAGAGAGGTTTCGCTGTTTTTTCGCAACTTGTGCTGCAATGAACGAATCTATTACTAGGAGTTCTTTACAACCCCTAGCACCTTTTTTGCACCCTAGCTGTTCTATGGGTATCATATTCTCACTTTCGAGGTGCTCATATATCTTAGTTGCCAAGATGGAAGTTAGAATTTTATACAGACCATTTAAACACGTTATCGGCCGAAAATCTTCAGGACGCATGTTTAAGTCATTCTTTTTCGGAAGCATATACGTGATGCCATCAGAGAAACCATCAGGGGGCTCTGTTTGTCTTCAAGTATTTCCTGGTAACCTTTGGCCAGCAATTCATGGAAGCAATGAAATCTTTTAATCCAGTAATTTTGGATTCCGTCAGGTCCTGGTGCCCTCCAATTTTTCATGTTTCTGACCGCTTCCGAAACATCTTCCACAGTTATGGTCACTTCCATCATTCCATTGACATTCTGAAGACTTTGCAGTTCTTCTTGTATCCAAGAACTCTCGAGGTGATTTCCCGATTTTTCCCATAAATTTCTCCAATGGATTTCAATGTCATCAGGGTATTTGATCGATATTTTTTCTTCTTTTACAAGGTTTCTATAAAACTGACGTTCATTCTGCTTGAACAGCTGATTTTGTTTCCTGCGTAAAGCTGCCTCACTATATCTGCGCAATCTGCTGGCGTAAACTGCCAGCTTTTGTTTCAGAATATCTAGATATCGAGTCAGACTATCAATTAACTCACATTCCATTACGGTTCCCAAATTCTGTACTATAATCTCATCTATCTTCCTTTTTGTCTTAGGTCTTGCAGCTTGAGGGTTACGAATATAGTTTAAGATGACGCCAATTTTTCCACGTAAGGTATCAATTTTCCTTTGAAGTCTTCTCTTCCACTGTGGTATTCCATTATATCCAGTTGGAAGTTTATTTTTACTTTTATCTTCCATTTTTATGCCCAGTTCTAATGTAACTATCTTGGCAGCAATATATAGCCAATGAGGGATATCTTGAAGGCCATTAATTAGGGCTATATTATCCTTAAGAACATTATTCATTATATTGGTTATTTTAATTGTGGCCTTATTATACGGTACTCGTGGCAACGATGGTCGCTCCTGAAGCGGTATTCCCTCAAGTAGAATATGCTCGGTCAAAAGTGATTGACTCAATCTATTTTCTATATCCGCATCATCCAATTGTTCCGCTGAATCTTTATTACCGACTGAGGTATTGATTACATCAGCGTCTGAATCTATTCTTGTATTTAGCGCTCCATCAGAGAGCTCGACATCATTTTCAGTGGCTATTAACATACGAACTTCGTTTTTAAGTTGTTGGAGGTCATTAGAAGTAAAAAAATTTCTCGTAAGTATTACTCTTACCTGATCACTCAGTCTCTGCCTGCTTATATTAATATCTGGGAAGGACTCACGTCAGTATCTCTGTATACGGTTCAGATATCCTGTTTTCTCTGTTTCAAGTTTTGTTGCCAAGTAGTATGCTCGGATGACAGCCATATTCATTTCTGGCGTCCATTTCATCCTCTTTGCACCTCTTGGTCTCTGTTGCCGAACTCGCGCGGGTGGAGAATGTCTCTCCTCCAAGCTCGAACTCGAACTGTTGGCCGGTAAACGTTGCAGCCTTGCGGTCCGTGACGACAGGGTAGTGCTGCTCGCTCCACTAGTCCCTGAAGGAAGCTGTCCACTGTTCCCGCCCGATGCAGCCTCAGTATCGGGCTCGTCCGAGGCTAATCTTCTATTTCGTAGCTCCATTTTTAATGGGTAGGTGCATTTTATACCTTCCTGCCAGGTGATTTAAACAGCCGCTCCTGACATGGAGAACAGACGCTGACCAGGTTGCCGCCCAATATGGGAACCGTCGCACCTGGATTTTGCTAGTTTTGGTCCACCCCGGGTATTTTATTTCCCCGGTACCCACCATATCTGGTGAGATTTCCCCTATCCACCACCTGGGGAGGCGCCCGATGGGAGACTAGCAACTCCTCACGGGTTATTATTATTATTATTATTATTATCTTTAATTATTCAAAAGCATTATTTAGGCAACTTTTCCAATTATGGCAAATAACTCTCATGAGTTTCAATAAGGCAACATTCAAAATTTTAAGCCAACATTCTAATTTTAAGCAGTGGACTGTATCTTAATGGAGTAGTAGGTTATAATGATTGTGCAAAAAATAGCTTACCTTCTTTATGCCAGCTTACATCTTTTGTACCTGGAGGGCCCTCCTGCATCTGGTGGTGCTGTCTCGGTGACTGCCAATGATGTGGAGCGAGCCAACCAGGCGCTCTCGAGGCTTAAGTGTTATCTTTTATCTTTTAGATCTGCCCCCACCACTCGCCGTAACGCAGGAAATTTAAACCATTCTTTGGCACAACCAAGCATTATATCAGCAGTTAAATAAAACTAAATCATTAGCTTAATTTTCTTTGTTAAAAAACTTAAATAGTTGATGTTTCAAACAACTTATTCATCTTAATCAGCAACTATCTTAAAATAATCATACAATTACTATCAATCCTAGATTGTCTATTTTACTATTTTTATGGGATCGAGGAGAAAGCAATTTAATTTTTTTTTCCATTTTTTTCAAAGCAAATATATTTATAAAAATTTCAAACACTAACCAATGATATATGTGCTGTTTTGATTGATGACCTTTTTCCACATTTATGGCAAAACTATAAGTCCATCATTGTAGAAGTTTTGAGATTTTTGGGCGAAAAACTGAACCAAGTGATTTTCAAAATCCTCCTTTAATGACAGCTTAGTAGTAGTCAGACGGGGGAAGGTCCAGGCTATACAGTGGATGCATCAAAACTTCCAAGCCAAGCTCTCTCAATCTTTTTCTAGTATCCCCTGCTTCAATCACACTCGTTATTTACTGTAGAGAGTTGAATTAATGGTTTGGCCAAGTTAGAGCAGCTTATGGTGAACGAT